GAACAATCAGTTAAAAGGGTCAGCACCAGGTCAGAAGATTATAAGCAAGGTGTAAAAATTTTGTGTCAGGATGGAGAAGTTGACGTTACAGAAGCGAAACATATTATAATCAATGCACCTAGTGCAAAATCTGGAGATAGCTTTTGTTCGATTCAAATGGTGGGGACTGAACTACCACAAACGGAGACACGTCAATGCAAATTGGTGAAACAAATAATTTCTCAGGAAAGATTTAAAGATGAGTATGAAAAAGCAACAAGTCCAGGGGACACATTCATTCTTTACACATCAGCATCCTCCAAAAAACTTGAACTTCATCAGCCAATGTCTGCAATTGTTAGTAAAGACAACTGTGAAGAATATTTCGGACCTTTTGCTGGGAGATGTTATAATTATGCTATGGAACAACCAAATCTTAATGAAGCGACTTACACTCAGCTGACTGGAATAAATTGTGTTGGAGAAGCACGTGCTAGAATTATCATAGAAGAACGAAACAAACGCAAATTTTCTGGTATAGACGATTGTGAAAGAAGAACAAAAATTCCGCGCATATATCTTGAACCCTTTTTTTAGTTGTTATTTTTTCGACGATCTGAGTGTGCCGTAACTTTGAAACTTAAATGTTTCAAAATATAAAATTTTATTATTTTATAAAATGTGAAATAAAATGCGTTAATGTGCTTCATTCCTATATACATGTACATATTGTCGTGGGTAAAAAGTAGGCACAGTAACGTGACACGCCATCGCGTCACGTAATTAGTGTGTTATGAGATCAACGGTGGGAAAAGTTAGAGGTGGATAAATTAAGGTGTGGGAAAGTTTATTGGTGGAAATTTCTAGAGTAGTGTAGAATAGCGATCAAATGTAAACAACAGGCGCATGTATAAATACATGCGCCATTCAGTAGCATGTAAAGAAAAGGAGAGATTGAAGTTGAGAGTCAGAACGCATTAAGTAATAAACAACAAAGTAACGTTTAACAGGTAAACTCTTACCTTGTGTTTAGTGTGCCAAAGTAGACTTGTAACTTGGCTACGCGACTACAAGAGAGAACCGAAGATTGCCCAAGGGAATTGGCATTGGAAGGGTTCTAGGTTAGTCGGTAGAGAAGTTAAAGTGAGAAGACCGGCCAAATCGGAAACACGCCTCAAGAGTTGGAAACTTACCTTATTGTGAAACGAAGCGACGACCAGTAGTGTGGGCTGGACGGATAGCCCACGACAATATAAGTAAGAGAAAACTATTCGGGCTTTCTTACTAGCAGGGGAATTATCAACGCCAATTCTATCTTTCAATAATCCATATTCGCTTTTGCTGGCACAATACCATTTGTAGCATAAACGATAAAGTTTCAGCCGGGGAGCACCTACCAAAAATTATTCCAAAAATTCACGTATATACTGTACAATGGGAATTACACAAACCACATTCATATTCACCTGTAGAAACTATTCCATAGAGATGGTCGTAATAATCATCTCGGAAAGCTTCAAAGATAACCGATTTCGACATCTCGAGGCTTTCCGCAACGCGTGGCTTCGTTAGCATTAGTTAACATTTTTCTCCAAATTTGAAAGCCTCAATGTTATTTCGTTCATACACTGCTCGAGCTCCTTATCGTCGTCATCGATTTCCTAATACCAAAAAATTTTTTGATGAAAAGTTCGCCCAAATAATACAGAGAAAAATAAAATTAAGTATTATATACTGTTGGCAGAAAAATATGTAGATGGGTTGGGATCGGCGCAGGTCATGTGGTATGGCGCGATGCATCAGATCATGCAT